GCCCCTCCCTGTACCCTCCTATCGACTCATGAACTTCCAACATGGAATAGTCATTGCCATGCTGTCTTTGTTTCTGCCTACTCAAATACCAACTGAATGAAGGTCTAATCGTCCCCATTAACACCTCTTCCACCCCCGCCCTAGTACCCGCACCGCTTGAAACCCTCATCCTGTACCTCACGCAGTCCTCCCTTTAATTCTGCCAATAATATCATCCATGTATAATTTGAGACCCCCAGGCCGCGCCCGCTCGATCATAGCAACCCCGTAACTCTATCCTCCAAATAGTATAGCAAGCCCAAATTGTAAAAGAATTGATACGTTTCCCTTCCTTTACGTAATATTGCATAATACCGTTCTATAGCCACCGCCAATCCCAACACATCACCACATCCCCTACCCCATTTATCATCTGCACTTAAACCCCTCCCACACAGCGTTGCAAAATCCCACTATCCCCTCCTCATCACCTCAACAACACTTGTATTTAATTTCCAATAACCCCTAGATCTATACCTGCTAGTGACTCCCCACCACCCTCTGCCTACTCTACCGCCGATGATCCGAATAAGCTACTTCTTTTGTACTGAAAAAGTCAACCCAAACCCCTTGAGATATATACAGAGCCTATCCGAACCTAGCAGGGCCCGTCTTACAAAACTGTGTTCTACCTCCCACAGCGCCCCTCCTCCAACCGCATCCCGCAACTGAATATCTCTCAAAGATCTCGAGCAAGGCCGCCGACACGTGCCCGCCCCTTTTGGTTCCACCGTCAGCCCTCCTAATAAACGCAGTTTCCAGTCCCCACCAACGACGGGCCTCTGTAGTCAACGCCCGTAAGAAAAAAACTAGTTCTTCACAATACAAAAATCCCTTTTACCCTCAATCAGTTTTTCTCTGGTGCATATCACACTCACAAAAAAAACCATCGCCCCATCCACCACCCATATTCCACTCGCATAAATCTTGCCCCCCCTCCCCCCCCTCACTTCTTAGCACACAACCGGGCTCGCCGCTCCAGATCCAATATCCCCATGCCAACACTTTTTTGCTAGACGGTTCAGAAAGCAGAGTCATAACTCTGAATACCCCCTCCACGCCGAGCTGCCTTCTTCCCTCCTTGTAAATTGTGTTCTGCAGGAACACTACAATCCACCCTATATTTTAACAGAAACATTCGAAACCATTCCTATCTTCACACTATTACACAATCATGACGTTCACAGTCATTACACCTAAGGCTCTTTATCGTTTCCAACCCTTCCCTCCTCTCTTTCATTCATCCCAGCCTCCTCCGCCAGATCCAACACAAGGCTCTCACAGACACCATCACCCCCCTACGCTCCCCCCCTCCTTTTTTGCGATGCCTCTTATCATGACACTTTCGACAGTAGCTCGTCCATCCTCCAAGACCTCTGCGCCGGCGTCAGGAACATCATCTGAGTCCCTGACGCCGCCGCTCTCTTCCTCGTGAATGCCCACGATACATGCATGTTATCTTCTGATGTTCCCTCACGATGAACCGCAACCTCCAACCACGCCCGTTCCACAGCACACGGCGACAACTCTCTCTTGCTAGTTTGCCCGTCAACCCTGCCTATATGTTTTATTTGAGTCCTTATATTCCTCTACAGGCAACGAGCCGTGCCGTCTCGACCAGACTCAGGAACAACAACCTCTGCAGGCCGTGTCAAGTGTCCTTAAAACACGTTCTGAAGCTATCCCTAGAGCCTGCACCTCCTCCTGCACTTGCCACTTCATGTACTTTTCCATTGAGTAGTAACAGATTCCTTTTTATCATCCACAGCTTAACCATCACACATGCCTGTCTCTCATTTGAATCCTCACACCTCTTCACATCCACAAGCGCCCAGGCCCTTGCTCTCAGCACTGAGCTCTCACAGCTATCACGCTGGTAATGTGCTTCACCAGTTGCGCGGCGCCCTCCTCAACTTCACGCACTCTGCCGCCATAATGTCGTACGCCCCCACATATTCTTGCACGTACGTTCTCTGTCCGGCATACGATTACCATATACTAGCGTCTGAAAAGTCCTCCAACACGACGTAAGACGGTAAGGGATGTCTCAGAGTCATCTTCAGGGAAAAGTTACCCTTCCGGACGTCCCCATGTAAGCACCTCTCTTGCCGTCCACGTTGCCCTTTATTGTGCCAGATTGTACGAGTCCAATATGTCTCAAAAAAACAACGTCCTTAACGAAAGCCTCATCCAGCCTCAAATGGGACATTACTATCTTCACCCACGTAAAGTGGCGAGACAACGTCGATCAAACGCACTTCACCAGCTGGAGTAGCGTCAAGACTCAACCTCTTGGAATCTCGTCCACCAAAGACTCATACACGGACGTGGAATTCAATTTGATCGAAGATTCTAATAAGCCCCATTCAGGGCTACGCCATACACATCGTCATCGTCCGGATTCCATAGGTCCCTAAATGATTCGCTTGGAGTAATACCTTGCACTGAAGAGGGCGAAATCGCCCCACGAACAGCTCAAATAACCAATGGTATTTACGCGCCCCTCCTCACAACTCAGCGCCATGTTGATGACAAGGTAGACTCGCCTGAAACAGCAGAGGGGTGGCAGCGCTCACAACCTCACTCGACCGTGGTCAGGGCATCGACACAATTTTTTGCACGGATTCTCTGAGCCGTCCAAGGTGGTGTTGACTAATCGGCGTGTAGAGAGACCGAGTTGTTCATTGTGCGGGGATGACGAATCAGCGTTTCCCGTTGTTTAATTTCTGGGAAAATTTAAGGTATAGTACGTGCGTGTATAAGTCAGGGTTTTACGATGTAGGGGGGAGGTTTGTCCTGATATTAGGGCGTTGAGTTTGATGTGGGTGGGGTCGACATCTGTGTACAACGTGCAGTGTCGTATGTCCCGTAGCCGATTATATATATGTGTCCATGGGCTATGAGACATGTTGAAAGGAGTAATAGCAGAATCGGGTTTTAGCGGATAACAATTCTTAAAACTAAGTGATCGAAATCAGTTAGTATATATGAGGGGAGATGGGAGGAAGATTTCGCCGTTTGCATACAGAGCGTAGAGTTAAAGGAGATTTTAGATAATATTTTGTTCGTGGTAATCTTACGTGCTGGTGTCCGCTTGCGTTTAATTGTATGTACGGTCTCACTGTTTGGTAATATAATATGGTCGCCATGTTGTTATGTATGTCTCCAAGTGAATGCCCTTTTTATTCTTGGTATACCATCATTGGTATTTCTGTATAGACGTGTTTTTCCTTATTACATGTAAAATGGATAGTGTGCATGTTATTGATGTATTCGTGTACGTTGATCCATTAATACCTATGTCTATGTTGACGAGTATGTAGTCCGCTTGTGTGTGTGTGTTATGTTGTGGATTTTTTACAACTACGTTATTATGCAGATCTATATCCATTACCATGTGTGCTTGCCATTTGTATATACACACCAAGTATAGACAAGTTTTTTTAATAATGTATAATGGTGTTGTGTCTGAGGTATAAAACCATCGTCAATACTTTGTGAGTAAGGTGTATTACCATTATATTGTACAGCAACCGTTTGTCGTGTGATTATGATGTGGACTCGGATCTTGTTTAATGTAATTTGACTATAGGAAAACTTTCTAAACCAAGTGTTAAGAATCAAACAGTTCTACTATTTACATAAAGTACTATTGCACTTGTCAGTTTGTTTTGTACAAGCCGTGAGTCAGTAATATATCCTTTACCATTACAAGTTTAGGGAACAGCTTATCATTGTGTTTTATGCTTCATATTCTTACGTGTCGTAAGATTCATACTTTTGGATATGCATTTAGATGTGTTAGGGTTAACTTATTTATTGTGCACTCTTGTGGGTCTGATTTTAAGTTGTACTTTTCAGACAGGGGGGGTTCTGTCTAGGGAAGGGGGGTTTTAGTTTGCACGGCTATACGGTATGTAACATACTGTGCCCTTTTGAGTTTGTACCTTATGACGTTCAGTCATAGTACAGAATATCTTGTTTTACTTTTGTTGTCGTTAGTACGGAAGTATGTATCAATTCTCTCCTTACTTTGGTTACTGTTTGTGTTTTCATTAGATAATTTTTGTTACATGATGTATAATTATATCTGTATGTGGTATTATATGGCCATGGAAAGTTTATTACATTTCTTGGCAGATAAAGCCTGTTTGTTATTTTTTATGTGCTGTGATGTATTTTTAAATAAAATAAAATGCATTGGCGATGAGGGACAGTTTGTGTTAACACAAAGTTAAATGTCTGTGTGCTTTGTTAATGAAATTTATAATTCTGTGTAAGACCTGATAATGTGTTCTTTTATCTATTTAATGTATTGTATTGTTTTAAATAAAATATAAAAAAAAAATTCTTCAACTTCAATGCCAAACGTGTCCCGTATACTCGTTGGTAATAAAACAGAGGCATTCGTAGGGTAAATTGCCCCTTTAACAATGTCAACACACACGGTGTTGCTCCTCCTGCGGTAGCTGGCAGCCATCTTGGTGAAAACAGGAAGTTGCGCACCAGAGAAAGCAGGAGCTGTTTGCGCAGTGCGTCCACTCAGCCCGAAAGCTAAGAGGACAATAATCAAAAAATAATTTAAATTCTAAAATAAGGATTACAATGATTTCTCAGTGTATATGAAGTGAGAGATTTACACCTCTTGGTGATATACCCTTGAGAAAAATTGACTGGTTAATTAACTGTACTGGAAGGCTGCTAACTACTCCAAGGGTCATTAAGACTGCATGTCAACTCATCAACAATAGTTAAGATTACTGTAATCCCTAGAATTTTATTTAATGTATTGTATTTTTTTAAATAAAATATAATAAAAATCTCAGAGTATATACACTAATAGACATAAACTTCTCGGTGTATATATTCTGTTATAATAAAGCTATTGAGATAAGGGTTAATAGGGCACGATTGGAGGAAGGTGTAAGGGAAGGATTTAATAGTCGAATCAATAAGGGAGGTTTTGAGGTGAGGGAGGAGCAGTGTGAGAGTCAGTCTACTCACGGCCTTCCTAACGTATTCATCTCTTCAGTGTTTTACTTCTTATAGTGAGTGTGGCGTTTGGTTTCAATTTTATTGTTCGCTTTGAAAAACCCTGCTACTGTTAATTCAGTACTTGTCCCTGTTTTTAATACATTATATTTCTTCTATTTGTAGATGAGTCTTTCGACGGTACTCGTGCTTGTCCTGAGCTTGTGCTCAACATGGGCTCGAGAATTCTTGCCTCAAGTATGTTTTCATGCATTTTTAAAGTAAATTCCATTCCCCAATCGCGTTTTGTACTAATAAACAACTTTTACCCATGTCTTCCTGATCATAAGTGGACCAATTTCTGTATTATACAAACTATGCTTTCGGTAAACTCCTTTGCCTCTTAAATTAATGCTACTTGTGCTTAACCCTACTTCACAAACTGTATCTGTTCAGGACTTAATTCCTACTTTTTTAATATAATCTTTACCTCCCAACAGCCCACTTACCTACCTCCAAATACCGGAGTCCCTGTCAGTGATCACGGTGTCAACTTTCCTAGAGCCCAACTTGGTCAGTCAAGCACAACCAACCTTAATTCCGCTAATCGCTTCACTCCAATAAGTACTTCCGAAAACATCCTTCACGGAATCGTATCCAATGCTGGATTAATTTCCCCTGCTATTCAACTTGGTATCGACCATCTTTCTTCTAGACAACCTGAACGCACTCGCGACAGATTCGGCCAACTTGTCCTTGGTGCTACAAGTAACTTTGCCACGGGCTTGACTGGCAATGCTTCCCCTTCAGATACAATCTCTGTAAACATTGGCGGTCCTCAAATAGAGGCATCAACCAGTGGAGTCGGGGACTCTTCTAATGATCTAAGGGGTTTCAGGCTTCCCCAAGCTCCTGCTGGCGGCAGAGGATCAGTCTTCATAAGTGATGCTTTCAGTCGGGTCGTAGGTGGTCCAGGTGCTGGCGTCACCTTCGGCCAGATTAATGTTCCCAGAGCGTCTGTGGCTGGTCAAATAAACAGGTTGAGCTTCTTGATTACCCCAACAGTAACCCAGATTGTGACGATCGACCGCTTCGTAACCCTCACTGACCTGGCTTTCAACAGCGTGGCAGTCACCCTCACTGCGTTCAACGTGCAGACAGTCACTGCTGGCACTCGCGTGGTAAGTTTATGTTCGTGGACATAAATCTGTATTAAATATCTTCGCTCATATACTTAAACTTTGTACATTTCCAGGTTGTAGCCACACCAGTGGATGAACGCGTTGCCCTCCAGACTACTGTAGTCTTAAGACCGACCTCAGTGACAATGACTGAGGTGAAGTCTGACTTCAGGGTGGTGACGGAAGTCTCGGTAGACCACGTGACGATCACCCATACATCTTACGTCATCAATCAATTTACCTACACCACTACTGCCACTCAAGTGTAAGGAAGTTTTCTTAAATTAATCACTAAATATTTTAAAATCTATTTGTACTATACCCACTTCCTATATTTCTAGGTTAACCTACACTTCTACACTGGTAAGGACGAACTTGCGCACTGCAAGCACAACCTTCACTGAATATCGCACCGTAGCGGACACTGTTTACGTCGGCGGCAGTTATGGCACTCGCTTCTAGTTGAGTTACTTCACTTTAATTACCTACTTTCCTAGCCGATACTGTCTTAATAAAATGCTTTATTCTAATAGCGTGTATACATAAATTCCTTATTACTTGCAGCCTAATACCTCGTTACGTATCGGAACTCCACTGCCAAATTGACTAACTACTTTGGCACTTGTAAATACTATACAAAGAAATCGCTAAGAAACATTAATAAAACAGTTAATTATTGAACCACACCTTCCTTAAGCTGAAATATTTAATGTGCAGACTTGCCTTAAACATGAAAGGGTCAGTCTTAGTAAATTACTGAAAACTAAGACAAACCCATATATATTAAAAACCTGGAAAAAAATTTCCAGCCCACTAGATCTTTTCACTTTAAAACAAAAAATTTCTTTCCTTTTTCATCGTAAAGGCAAAAAAACGAAAGTGCTCCGAACTTTTTTGTGTTCTAGAACCATTTGCTGTCTCATCTCTCCCGACTCTAATTTTTTTTTACAAGTTGGGATCGGGAAATTTCTTCAATGTATGGAAAAACTTAGAATATTTTGGCCCTTACAAACGCAGGTAAGTTTCGAGAAGGGGTTTTAAACCCGAAACTTAGAGTAAATGTGAAACAATTCAGGAAGGATGGGAAAAGATTAACACACAAAATTACGCATATACTTTTAAAAGCTAACCCCGCAATAATTTTCCGG